ATGCACGACAGAGGGCATGCCGGTTGCAGGCCATGACGATTGTGGGGCGTTCACCAACATAGTTAAGTGCACATTCGCTATAGAGCCCGCAGGCACAGATGGGACATACTGCATCTGGATGTGGAGGATGTTCACAATCCGGATACAGGTGGCATCCTTGCTGACAGCGGGGCCGAAAAATTATACGGTTGTAGTGATGTCGACAAAGTCGATGCTTTCCACCACCAAGTGTAACTGTGTCAGTGATCTCACAAAGAAGGAGGTGACAAGGTGTTAGTGCAGCATGTGGGGGAATAAAGACTAAAGCAGGCACGGTGACAGACATGGAGGTAGGCATAGAGACAAACACAGAAACGGGCATGGAGACTGGTGTGGAGGCAGGCACAAAGACAGGTGCAAAGGGACGGAAGTACACGTGGTACGCATAGAGTCAGTAATTTGGAAGGAGATTGACACAAAAACAGGCACAGAGACAAGTACGGAGGCAGACACAGAGATAAGCGTAGAGGCGGGCATGGAAGTACACGTGGTACCCATAGGGTCAATGACCTGGAACAGTTGCAGGTTAGGGAAATTACGCACGAAATCACCAAATGGCAGTAATAGTTTGCACCATAGCACCGCCATTCCATAATTCCCAAGAACCAGAGGCACGAACAAGAGCGGTGTAGTGGCCAGGAGCATGTAGAATATAAGCACAAATGTGCGAACAGTGGTCCGGGTCGCCACCCGAAGGGGCACGCTGCATATTAAGTCGGCGCCTTATCAAAGCAGTCTCCAAAACAGAGACATTGAATCCCCCATGTCGAGTGTCATTACTATTCTGTGGGGGACGCAGAGTCGGGTTATCGCAATATAACTCACGTTCTTGAGCATCAAGATCGGAAGCAATGGCCAAGAAATTAGAGTGAGTATATGGTTCCCGACGATAGGCTTGTAGGCATATGTTAGTAGCAGCGAGGCCACACAGATTCGGTGGAGGCTGGTCAGGCGGATTTTCTACATAATCTCCTACAGTCCCCTTGCCAAGTTCATCCTCGGATGGTCCCAAGCCATCATCCCTCCTGTTTTGTGTTTGTCGTGTTGCAGAAAGGTCTGCGGTCGAAGAGCGTTGCCGGCGTGGTAAGGATGCTTGGGGCGGCAAAAGACGGGGACGAGATGTTGGGGAGGGCCGTCGTGGGGAGAATGAACGGGTTCTTCTTCGTCCAAGAACAGAGATGGAGGAAAGGGGAGTAAGCTGAGGTTCGGAAGTAGGTCGAAGTCGGCGTCTAGGACGRCGAAGTAGGCTTTCTGCAGGGGCAGGAGTCTGTGTGGACGAAGTGGTTTGTGGATTAGGAAGAGAGTTAACGGATGGAGACAAAACCAGGGGAGGTAGGAGTGGCGAAGACAAGGGTGGTAGAGTAGTCGTAAAGTGGGTAACAGACGACGATAAAACCACGGGAAATAAAGGCGGTGAAGACGGGGGGGATGAAGTCAGGGGTGGTGAAGTGGCTGAAGCAGAGACAGGGGGGGCAGTCGTAGGTGAGACTCGAAGAGGGGACTCAGCAGGTGGTAATGCAGGCATGGCTACGGATGCCATGGAGGAACGCACCGAGACCAAGGGCGACACAGCAGCTGCGGTGGTCACGAATGCCATGGAGGAACACACCGAGACCAAGGGCGACACAACAATTGCGGTGGCCACGGATGCCATGGAGAAACACACCGAGACCAAGGGCGACACAGCAGCTGCGGGTCGAGTTGCTCCCGCGGAATCAATCATAGAAGCAACCAAGGCCGATGAGGAAGAGGCTGCGAACCGAAAAGGGGCAGCCAGGGTCACAAACGACATGGAAGGGGTTACAAAGACTGATGAGGACGCAGGTGCGGCAGACGCAGGTAATGAAAAAGAGGCTGTGATAGGTGTGACAGGCGCCGATAATGAAGAAGGGGCTGCGATAGGCGTAGTCCGAGGACAATGTGTGGATACCCGAGAAAGCAGGTGATGAATAGACCATCGAAGCATGTTGCAGAACCAGCCGGAGAGGCGGGTCACGTGCGCAGGGTACCTGTGTTGACGTTTACGAATATAGGAAGTCCATCCTTTCGCAAGCGTTGTTGGAGAGTGCCCGCGAAAAAGCATGCGGCGTGTGAGCATCGCTGCTGCAGTTTTGAAATCATACCAGTTGTTGCAAACATACTCAAACCTAGTAAGCTGGCCTGTAAACACTCTCGCCGGCTGGTGTGCAGGGACGTTAGACGTAGCACTAGGATAACAAATAACAGGGAAATTCCATTGAGTTGCTTTGCCAAAGACACTCATACGCAGGGAACCGTCAGGGCGGACTTGGAGGCGTGCACCCAAGAATGTGCAAGAGCCATCAGGCGCTGTGGTCTCCTCCCATTTGAGGCCACAGTGCTCTGACGGTGGTGGCAGATGTCCCCATGAGAGAACATCATCGATCAAGCGGTATGCGAACGCATACCGTTGAGCTGCGCGAAGATCACGCCGCTGGAGGTCATCAACAAATCGAGCCTCGTTCCAATACAACGTCAAATTAGCTATCTCCGGACCAGAATTAGTCCCCATCGGGATGCCAATCAGCTGATGTCGCAAGGTGCCGTCCGCTGCATAAGGATGGAGGGCAAAGGCAACTTACCTAAGACAGAAGACTCCACCAGCAAGAAAAAAAACACCGAGCCCCTGCTCTAGGTCCAAAAAAACTTGGAGAACCCTCCGTGTTGGTCCACAAAAAAAAACACAAACTAAAACAGAGGACTCCACCAGCAAGAAAGCACCGACCCAATCTCCCAAAGGTCCAAAAAAATGTGGCGAGCCCTCCGAGTCAGCCCAGGAAACCATACAAAATTAATTACAAAAAGACGACAGCATTGGAACTGCTATTCACCCCAAACAACACATTCACATGACCACCATCTCTATCACTCCATGGCTAGACATCTTCCATTTAGCTTTGCTGTCTAGCCCTGGAGTGTATAGTGCCATAATCCCAAACTCCACAAGATCTTCACGCGACACTAGGAGCACCGCTGCTTAAAAGTTAAAACACCCTAGAAGCCCCCATTTCTTCCATGTGCGCCAAAAAAGCAGCCCATGGGAATGACACCCACAGAAACACTCTCTGAGCCTCCTCGCGAAAATGCTGTGATGTGTGTGTGTGTGTGTGTGTGTGTGTGTGTGTGTTTCAAAAGAAACTTGACTATTCTATAATTGGTTGGATTTTTACACCCTCGTTTAAGTAATAACGAGTACTCAAATTACCATCTAATACCTAATATCCATCCTATCCGTCAGATTGCAGGCTATCGGAATGATTTCACGGTTATCAGAGGCCCACTCTGGAAGTCCCGAGGTCCGTTGTACCATTATTCCCGGTCCAGTAGCTTAGGTAGGCCTAGAATGGTCTGGTAGGTTAGGGAGTTGAGGCAGACTAGTTCAATCCAGTGACTCCAGTCCAGTCCAGTCCACTCCACTCCAGTTGCAGACGAGTCAGCAGCCTAGGGTCTCAGGAAAGTCAGTGAACATTTCAGAAGCGTCAAAGGCTGAGAGTCCACGGGCCGCAGGCTATCAGGTACCAGTCCAAAAAGTCCAAGGGAAGGGAAGGTGAATTGTCGGGTAGAAAAGCACAGCAGCAGTTGTCCTCAAAGCACGAGTCCATTCAGACTGGCTGCGGAGGCATTGTTGCGAAGTTGTGTGAAGAAGTGACAAGTGAACAGAGTAAGGCTGAGGGTAGTCATAGTCGATGGTTGCTGGGAGCAATAACAGTAGTAGAGCCCCAAGTTCAGAGAGAGAGAGAGAGAGAGAGAGAGAGAGAGAGAGAGAGAGAGAGAGAGAGAGAGAGAGAGAGAGAGATCAGTGACTTGGTGACTATTTCGAGAGTTGCCTCCCAGATTTGGACTCAACATTTGGGCTGAGAAAATTGTGGAACTTTCAGGGAGAGATTCTCATCATTCGGCTGATACATTGAGTTGCACTCTCTTCTTCTTCTTCTTCTTCTTCTTCTTCTTCTTCTTCTTCTTCTTCTTCTTCGTCTTCGCTCACATTTATCTCATTCCCTGCCTCCATCATCTGTGGTACTTCTCCCTATGCATGTGAGGAGAGGAGGGACCTCTTCCGTCTCTGTCCCCTCCTCTATTGTCTCACAAGTGATGATGTATGCGCGTGCTGAGTGCAGAGTATGATGAGACGGATAGGTGCTTTTTCAGTCTTCCGCTGCTTGTATTGTTACTTCTGTGCACTTTCATGATTCGTTGGCTTGGCAACATGCCTATCTGCTGATACGAATGTGACATAAAGATGAGGCAGGGAGCTTTGATGCCTTGCTGAGAATTGGACAACACCACCACCGAGTGGATGTTATGGATGATAAACATCGATAACTGAAAACAAAGCTATTCTTCTTCTTCCTTAATTTGGATGATATCTTGATTTATGTGTGTCATCCATGTGCACTGGCCATGCTAATATTCTCTGTACCATTCCAATTTGAAGTTTTAATGAAAGTCGTGGAGGCCACGGAATACGCTCATATTTTCCACAAGCACATCTTCCACTCTTTATAGGTCCAAATATTTTTTCACAAAACAATCCATCTTTTTCTGGTTTTTTATTTCTGTAATGCAATGTATGAGGTTCTTTGACCTCTCCTACAACATCCCCATTAGGTAATTACCATAATACTCTTTCTGCCCATTTACGGATCTGTTTGGGTGAAGAAGAAGAAGCCATTTCTTTGTATGTGACTATGTGTAGAAGAAGCCATTGCTTTGTATGTGACTATGTGTTTTTTTCAAATTTTTTGGAACTTTTTTTCCTAATATGTAAAGAACTTACTCAGCCCATGTGGCTGAATGGCACATACATGTAACTGTTGATAAACATATTAAACAATTTAGGAGTTGAAATCCTGATGAGCTCATAATACAATAAGGTTAGGGGCTACCCCTTTCAAAGGGGGAAAAAAAAGAGACTTGGGAACGACGGAGATGCATCAACCAACCTCTTTTCTGTCTCCTGCTGCGACGAAAAGTGCCCTGCAGTCCATCTTTGTCTTGTCGTCACATAGCGAGGGCAGTATGGATGCCGCAGATATCAGGATATTGAAAAAGTGGTCTGCATTGCTTGTCGTTATGCTGTCGGACTCCAACAACTGGAGCGCAAGTTTGGATGCCTTTGTGAACTTGGAGAGATTGCCAATGTGTGAAGAAATTTTACCCATTGCTGCAACAAGCTCTTCTTCGGACACCTTCGTTGTGTCCTTGAATGTGATATGCCGTACATCTGAGGGGGGGAAGGGGGAGGAAAAAGAGTGGATGGCTCAGATTCACAAGAATCCATGCGAAAATGAAGAGATATAATACATGTTTCTGAAATACTAACCACAAAGACACAAATAGAAAATCAATATTGTTCCTTCATTGTGGCCGCTGAACCTGATTTTAGGCTATAATAATAAAAGCCATCCGTTTCTGAAAAAAATAAATAAAAAATTCAGTATTCTAAAGCAGGTTTGGGCCCTTTGGGGTAATCAAAGTTTTTAAACTGACATACATCAGTACCAAGTTAGTACCAACGGGCCTAGTAGCTCAATTGGTACACCCAGGAACTGTTGACATTGAGACCCAAGTTCGAATCCAGATGCAGTCAGATTAACAAAATTAGTTTAAATTACATATTTCTGAATCACCAAGGGCCGGTCAGTTCAATGATGATGTCTCAAGGTCGTTGCCCTTTGAAGAGGGGGGGGCATACATGATACATCAGTTTACTTCTTCAATGTGAAGATCCACTGAAATAGCTAGAGACAGAGATGGCTCTCCCCCTTGACTTGTTGAAGTTGTTGTTTTGTTCCTCCTTTTCTTTCTTTCTTTGCTGTCTGAATACTCCGAGTCTGAACTTTTGCTTGCCTGTGACGAGTGACTGGATTGGCGACCTCCAGAAATAGATGGAGCAAGATTTTTCTGGGTGTAAAAAAAAAAGAAAAAGAAATAGCTACTAGCTACTAGCTAGAGTAAAAAGATGGAGCAGAAAGCAGAAAAGTCAATGAACAGCTGACAGTTAGTTGACCCTTCCAAGGGGAAGCAACCAATACTGTTAGTGCGAGAAGCAAGCCCTCACGGGGCCCTATCAGACATCACATGTTGTGGGCAAAGGCCCCCAACAAGCCGAGTGCCTGCCCTAAGTGAAGGCGGGCCTGAATATTCGTCAAAGGCCAAAATTCGACACTTTCATATGTGGGTATTTAGGCTCTTGCAGCACGCCAGTTGGTTGAATGGACGCGCGAGCCTCACTAAGTTGCGTCGTACAGTTGGCCCAGGCCTTGACAGTTGCGATTGGGCACATACACACAAAGCAGGGCCGATACATTGAGAAGCAGGCCATCGGCCTATGCAAAAGCAGTACTGTGGACGCACCTACCTGGGAGCCCTGCACAGATGCAGCAAACAGCCCAAGTCCGGAGGCTCAGGCCCTCAACTGCAGTCTCGGGCCTGGGCGCAGGGACTGAGGCCCAACCGGAAGCTACTGGAAGCTTCCAGCCAGGCCACACACACCATCCAGGAGGCTGCCACTTCCATAAAAGAAGTGAGGCAGCCCAGGCCAGGCATTCTGGCCTGCGTAGGCAATGTGGAAGTGCTGCTGCGCTACTGCTTGATGCTGTGCTGCGGCCAAGGGCGCTGACGGGCCGCGTTGAGGTGAAGTGGGGCGCTGCAGGGAAGCGGGGCGCAGGCAGCCATAGCCGGGCTGCTGGGTACCAGGGGGTAATGCGGGTGATCTGGTGGTCTTCAGGGAAGGAGGGGAGTGTGGGGTTATCAAGGTCTGATTGAGGGTGACGAGATACGTACCTGGTGCATGAAGAGAGGTCGGCTATGGTGTTGACAGTCATGTACATTGGTCTTCGAGAGTCGAAGTGGGCCTGTTGCGTGAACACAGCTGTAGGTAGGATAGTCGGGCAGAGTAGGCTGGGCGCTGGGCGCCAGACAGAGAGGATCRACTTTGGATACTGTGTTGGTGTGGCCTACGGGCTTGAACATTGGCTCATTACTTCATTGTATTGCTCTATATGGATGGTTTCTCGGTGCATTTGTACTCTCTGCTTGGACACGACTACTTAGACATCTGTGTGATTTCGCAACTCGGTTTTCTGTATATCGTTCACACTCATCTTCCTTGCATTAGGATCTCTTTCAGCAAAATAGCAGACTCAGCTGTGGTGAGAAAAAATCAGGGCTGGCTGGAGCAGTGGTCCATCCTCCTATTCGGGTACCAATCAATGCTGAACTGTTGAAATACAGACCGAATTTCAGATCAAGATGCAACCCAATGAACAAAACACTGAAAAATGACGAGTAATTCTGAATTAAAAAAAAAAAAAAAGCAAGGCTTGGAGCAGGGCTGGAGCAGTTCGGATCAAGATGCAACCCAATGAACAAGATATTGAAAATAACGAGTTTTTCTGAGCTTGCTCGCACTGAGGAAGGAGCTCCGTCTCAAGGGTTTTCCACGAAGGATGTTTTATGATTCGCTGAGATCGTTCTCTACAGCTCGAAGAGGGGTTTGGGACCACTGGGTTGGGTTATTTCCATTGCTAGATCGGTGACACTTCTAAAGGCCTATTTTCGGCGTTTGGTACCTGCTTCAGCGTTCCGTATCAGTTTCAGCAGCTCACAACGTGTTCTTTTTTGTGTGTGACCCATGCATGCTAAACAGCAGGGTCTGCACCTAGGTAGTGGTCAATACGATCGCGCAGTTCCTTCCGCCTTCAATGTCTTCATCCATACTATTTATGTTCACTTCGGTTCGTACTCGTCCTCCGAGCTTCTCGCCTTATTCCATGCTAGTACTTGCGACAATACCTATCCAGAGCTCTATCTCTCCCACGATAGAAAGGAGCAACACGAGGCACGTCCATCCACCTGGGTTCTACAACTTCGCGCGGGCGATCTTCTGCTTCCATTCTTTATTGCTCTGCTGTCCAACGTTAACCACCTCTTAACTCCTCCTTTTCTCCTTCCCTTCCCTTCCTTCCCTCTCTCCTAATTCTTTATCCTCCCCCTTGCTCTCTCCCCCTTGCTGTCTCCGCGTCTCTGTGCTTTTCTCTCTCCTTTGGACTGATTGCTTCTGGCGGGAACGGGACCACGGTTGAAGATACTTCCCGTGCGGTCCTTTTTGCTGATTACAGGGTGTACTTTCCTTCATTACCTTTTCCACCCTCTGCTTTCTCTTTCCCAGCTTGAAGGGTGGTTGATTTATTCGTATTCTCTGACAACAATTCTACTGTCGCCCCATCTGACCTGCTTCTGAAGGCCTTCAACGGCTCCTTTCTCGCAAAGTTCTCTCCCCACGGAAGTATGTGAAGATTGTCGTGGCAATTTTCAGATTGCTGCTACGTGGGTACTGGTCTGGATCAACGAAGCCCTCACGATCGATGTTCTGGACGATCTTCGGAGGAACTTTCAACTGCTCTCCTCTCTCTATTTCTATTCCATCCCGATGACGGTTTTCAGGACCTTTCCATCCAAAGTTTCCCGCTTTTCCCCCCCATTGTTCTTCTATCTCCATCCTCCCGAGCCCTCTCTCGTTCCCGCCTTACTCTGCTATACTGTGTGAACTCTTGGGGACTTGGTGTTTCTGCATGTGGTTGGACTGGCTGGAGAAGTTCTCGTGATTCGGCAAGTATTTAACAATGAGGTTTTAGGGGGATTATCCGATTACGTACACTCTTCTTTAGTCCCCTGACAATTCCGCCGCTGGTGGGCGAGCAGATGAAATGCATAGGGACATTACCAGCATGGCATTTTCGTGTACTACTACATTTCCGTATTTTTCAAAGTGCCTGTGACTATTGCACGTACCTCCTCTCATGGGTTGTTATGTTGGCATTTTCTTCTCTCTTTCCATTTCCCTATCTTCCTCTTTCCTCCATCTAAAATCGATCTTCTTCTGCTGCTTCATGTAATCTAACGCAATTGATTGCCCTTGTATGTTTGTGTTTCCCTTCATACAGTGGTGAATCCTCCCATTCGCTGCCATCTCAGGTGGGTGTAAAAAAAAAAAAAAAACCCTGCTGTCCCACGAGCTCTCGACCGTAACGGAGAGAAGTGCCGAGTGAGTACAGCTGATGTAAGAGACGCTGGACCCGGTTTCCAGCATTATTAATACAAAAGACAATTCATACTAAAGAGTTTTAAAAAAGAAATGCCCAAACTTCCAAATCCAAATCACACACTCTCTCCTCTGTTTCACCATTCTTTTTGCGACAGTGGCCACTGATTTTTCATTCATGCAGACACATACATAGTGTACTTGAGGGGCGCCTGTCGGGTGCACAGCATGGTGTGGTGCGGTCCACGGATGCGTGATCAGTCATGTCGACCTCATGCCAGGGTTGATCACGTCAAGTAGTTCTCTTGCCTCAGTCTTAATTTAGCTGTGGTCATTTCCCCATCTAGTTCCATCTGGATTCGAATCAGGGCTGTATTTTCAACAGTTGAAGGGTGTATCAACTGAGCTAGGCCGACTGTCATTCTTGCTCATTGCAAATTCTCAAACTCACAATTCGAACTAGACATATCCATCCTCTTGTAGTAGCCGAGGGTAAACTACTAAACTCAAACTAGCACTTTTCTAAAAGTACCAGCCCACAATTACGGCAAGACCTGGATGCATCTGACCGCAATCACGTCCAGAGCTGAGGCAGAAAAGCCCTAGTATTTCCTGAGTATCATGGCAAAGGCCTTAAGAAAAGGTACTTCAGATGACAAGGTACTTCAGGTGACAAGGTACTTTAGGTGAGGAGGTAGCGTGTCACCTGAGTAATACCATGACCTTCGCTCACCTGACGTACGTTGAGGACCTCCTCGGAGAAATAGCAATAAGACGCCTCCCTCCTAATCGTGCCCTCCGCCTCTTCCCCCCCCGCCTGATTTCCCCATCTCTACTGGCTCACTCTCCCTCTGAGTGTCAAGGCTGTTCAATCATTTCATAATCCTCTTCCTCCTCCCTCCCCTCCCCCCCCCTCCCCCCCTCTACCTTCACTCCAGAAGGGGAAAAACTGAAAGACACTTCATTTATGCATGGCATCCTTGCACAGCGGCCATGCTAATCTTCTCTGTATCATACTATCGTTCCAATTTGAACTGATGTCCCCAAAGACAAACCACAGCACACACTTGCTCCTCCCTTACCTCCTCTTTGTCCACGTCCTCTTGCTCCAGATTCTCACCTTTTTTCCTTTTTTTTTTTGAAAAACCGGTGGCCACTGTTAGACGGGGTGATAAGAGCAGGCCTGTGACAATAAACAGAAGAAAAAGGGCAAACCGGCAGCTCTTCCTCCTCATCATCTACCTCCTCCCCCTTCTCCTCCGCGAGTTTGGAATAAGCGCTTGGCGAATAAGACAAAACCGAAAGCTCACCTTTTTTGTCAGACTCTTGCCCTTCACAAGTGGATTTCGCTGCAGAGCCGGACTTCAAAGCTGACTTTAACTTCTGGACTGAAGATGGACCCATGGCGGACGGCACTCCTTCTCGAAGTCGTTTCTCAGCCCGCTCCCCCATCTGCACCACTTCTCCACAGTCCCTAGCCCTGTTCAAAATGCTTTCAGCCCCCGGCTGTAAATGAACTTCAATCCAGCCAACAGAGCAGAGTTTCTGTATCGCTTCCTTCGCACCTAAAATGCTCTGCCACATTTCTCAGAACATACAGCAAAGTTCAGCAAATGCACACTGTGGCCAACTGCTCACCAATTTTTGAGATTTTAGGAGTGAGACTGTTCGCTTTGTCGACAGGTAAACAGAGATTTCGGGAGTGTAGCCGGGAAGTTTTTCATCTTCACGTTTGAACAGTGTTCCTTGGTGGAGATATAACTTCACAGAGAAACTTCACAGAGCACGTCGGTAAACTTCTTTTTTTTTTTTCTTTTTTTTTTTTTATTTGGACCATTTCTCGATTTATGCGTGTCATCCTTGCGCAGGGGCCATGCTAATCTTCTCTGTATCGTTCCAATTTTAACGGATGTCCCGAAGGACAGCACGTCGGTAAACTTCCGTGCCTTCAAAGGAAGAATCTTAGGGAGTGTCTACACAATCTTCCTGTCAGGACTAAGGACAATTCAACAAAAAAATTTGAAAAAACGTTTCGACGAGGGCATTCTGGTAATCTGCAGACCAGTCCACTGTATTGCTCCTCTAGTTGACTTTCTTATCTCTATTGGCTCTCTGAAGTGGAACTACACTTTCCCACGAGAAGTACAGGACTGAAAATGGCAATTATCCCCTTTTTAAGGGCTTATTTATTTGCGGAGTGGAAACTTCTCACACACAGGAGCGTTAGCGCCACCCGGTAAGCGCTATTTTTCTGCGCTAATTCGTCACCCAGCGCGGTAGAGCGTCCGCTCCCCGCGCGACCAGGGCCCACCAATCCTCGAGCCACCATTCGACATTCGTGTTCCCTTCCGTGCGAGTGAACATGTGCGCACCTCCCCATTCGACTCTGAACTCTCGGTGGGAAAGGGAGGAAGCGACAAGGGTAAGGGACAGCCACATCACACCACGCCTTCGGGCATGGCCATCCCTAATGCAAAAAAGGGACAGAGGGAGAAAAAGGGAGGAGAAGGAGAGGAAGGAGAAGACACACCAAAAGGAGAATACAGGCGAGAAAGAGACGAGAGAGCCACGACACAAGAAAGAAAAGACAAGAGAGACGAGGAAGGGAGAACATCGCCTTCTAAAGGAACAACCGACACTACAGGCAGGCGAGCCATCATACACATTGGAAGGTTAGCATGGTTCCTCTCGACAGCAAAGGTAAGATCGTGACATCTAACCTACGTTCAGCAAACAGAGCTCGAGTGATAGGATCAGTGCAAGGTTAAACACACATGAACGGAGCAGCGAAATCGATCCAGGGGAGAAAACGACAAAAGGAGTTTCAAGCTATCATCACGAGCACTCGACGAAACTCAGCATAGGGAAAGTAGAACAACCTACACCAACGACCCACAACACTCACAACGGACACGACTCACACCACGGACAAAGACATTCATTACTATGCACATTGAACACGAGATTCAGGAAGTCGTCACACAGTTACAAACAGTAGCCTAGCTAAACTGAAATGATAGGAACCACAAACCCCACCCACCCCACACCTCCAGCCCCCGTCCAAATAGTTCGAATCGCACTCGCCCGTTCCCCACTTCCCCTCTCCACCACCGACATCCACTCAACTCTCCCATCCACTCTTCGGATCCCGCTACCAACTCTCCACCCACCCCCACCCATGCCCCACCGGCCCATCTACCACAAGATTTAAGACCCCACCTTAACTCCTCACCCCGACTCCCCACTGCAATTCCCATCTCACCCCCCGCGAACCTTTTACTCCTCTGGACCCCTCTCCTCAATCCGTCATTCCCCCACATACCCGGACCCCTCCCCTCACCCCGCCAAGCTCCTACACACCCGGACTCCCCCCTGACCCTACCCATCCCAACGCCTCAACCTGACTCTCAACCTAACTCCACAACCCCTTCTTACACTCTCCCACCAGACCCACCTGCCCACCCTTCAACACCCCAGCGCCCCACCTCCATCGTCTCCAAGCACTATCTACACACCACCCACACATCACTAAGCCCCCCTGCAACATTGAACCCTTTCTCCATCCAACCCCCATACTCATCTCCCCACCCTCTCCACCCCATTACTCCCTACCCCGTATCAACGAGCCCCACTACTCATTACCTCGCCTCTACGATTAATATTCATTCTTTTATTAACATGTACTAGTATTAGAATTTCACCACTTTCATTAATACGAATCTATGATGATTTATTATTATTAATTTATTATTACTAAATTAAACATTACCTAGACATTACTAGCTACAATATAGTCAATATCATTATACTAATGATTTTGGTTTCGTCCAACCTCTTTCTATTCTGGGCTCATTCCAATTCTGGAAAACTAGGCAGGTGGGAAAACCATTGTCAGGCACCCCGTTGCATCGCGTCACCAAATTGCCCTCTCACCCAAATCTAGACCAGATCTTACGGTGGAGAGGCCTAACTTTGTCGAAACCTGTGGGATGCATCCACCACTCGCGAGCAGAATTCACGTTCCCCGGGTGGGGAGGTAAAGCTCTGTTGCCTGGATTTTTTGCCATAATCTCGATCTTGTGCTCAATTAATTCTCTCAGTTTCATTTGCAACTTTGGATCGATTCTTACGCTTCCCAACTGGGGAGGCGAAGCTCTGTCGGAAATTATTGCTGAAACTCATCAAAGGCCAGGAATCAACTTCGACTTGCACATATTCCCCTAATCAGGCGGCCCAACACGAATCATCACATCTTCAGCTATTATCGAAGAGATTAAGACCTTAAAAGAGGGAATTTCTAGACATCCTTTTTAGTAACTCATCGGTTAATTTATTCATTCATCTATTTATTCATTTATTATTTATTCATTACTTGTCTAAATCGATTGTACCTACCCTAGCGCAGGAACAAAACAAGATAAGTCAACTAGGACAGAATAGCCCAACGCAAACCAAGGAAGAGACATTACACCAAGTTTGGCAACAATATCCTAAATAACTGGGCAAAAGTCGAAGCCAGTCAGACAGGGGTAAAGGACAAGAGGCAGGGTTTAAAGGAACGTGATGGAGGGAATGGGAATCGAAAAACAGAACTAGCTAGGAGTGTGAAACTGGTCGAGGTGGAAAAACATAGGAAGGAAGAAGTGGTAGTATACGACTAGCAGATTCCGAAACTGGACGAATTTCACGAAAAACACGCAGTGCTGTTTACCTTCTTCAGGAAAAGCCAAGAGTTGAATCGCCCAACAAGGCTCAAATGGATGTGGGAAAAACTCAGAAGTCTGGAACCAGTGCAAGGAACGGAACCAAAAGTATCATTCCAGCCACGAACAAGAAACGTAATAATGGTAATTAGCAAGGATCCATCCTCCGCAGACTTCCTAAGGAACAAGACTTTCACCTGCAACTCCTCATTAGTCACGGTGCAACCGTGGAAACTAGACACCCCCTTCCAAATGACACCCTCGCGCTACAGACAAGAACTGATGAAAAAGTACTTCTGGGTACAATTCGATAATGTACACGAGGGACTACACGGAGGAATAAACGAACGCTTGCAAGTGGAGTACGGCCATCTGACAATCGTGCAGTGGATAATCGCAACGCCAGACTTTTTGGTGCCGCAGCACAATACAATGACAATCTGCCCAACGACATCCCCCCACAAATGCCTAACTATTGGTTCTTCATCATGAGAGACAAAACAATCCAGGTGACAGTATCCAACAAAAGCAATCCATTGTGCTTCAAGTGCAGGAAGAGAGGGCACATGGGAACAGACCCTAGCTGCCCGAAAAACTTGGAGACATCTAAACCAAGGGCACTCAGACAGACAAGTCCGGCGGAAGTGGAGGATGAACCAGGCTTCTGGTACTTGAGAAGCAACCAGTACGTGGGGTGGATCTTCAACGACAACTTGCCAGTCCCGGACTGGGTCTGGGTACTGGAAGGTAAACCTACCCCGAAGCCTGATGTTTACCCCCCCTCGGACAACAGATGGCAGACCATGAAAGTTGAAAAGCAATCAACGAAACTCTTCACGAGGGACCCGGTGCTAAATCTAGAAAGAATCCAAGAAGAACGTTGCCTTAAGGACTTGCTCATGGATCTGAACGAGACAGGTGAAATGGCAAAAAAGGAAATGCTAGAGAAGGAAAAAAGCAGACAAGAAAGAGAACGGGAGACGGAGGCAGAGAGGAAGAAAACACCATCAATGTACTCAAGAAGGGGTCAACAAAAGATAGATAAGCAACAACGGGAGGGAACAGAAGGAATGGAGGTGGACAACTCCCAATCAGCACTAGATGGGGCAAGAGAGGAAGATCAACAGGGAACAAAAACAGAAGGCAAAGCGATCGTGGGGAAAAAAAGGAAGAAGTCGGAGGAAGGGAAAGGCATAACAACCAAAAGGATCCAAACGGAGGAAAAGGAGGAGGAAGAAGACATTTACAGCAAAGAGGAGAATGCCCCATGGGGAGACGCCTCCTTGGAAGAGCTTGAAGAATATATCCAAAAGGCAAAGAGGGAGAGGGAATCCAGATTCGAGCTGCAAATGGTGCACTATAGAGAGGAAGAAAAACTCAAAACAAAGGCGGGAACAGCAACACACAACCACCCCTTCCCGATGTCAGCAAACCCCTATGGCCCGTTGGAGAAGGAAGAAGAAATTACAGCCTTCTACGCAGAACAGTATTGTAAGACCAAGAAGGAACTAACACAGAAAGGCAAAGAAGCAAGAAAGGAAACAGGCAGTGATTGGAGATCAAACAAATACAGAATGCCAACTTTACTCGAGACGTATAACAAGAAAAAAGAGGAACTCCAAAAAGCGTCTCAAAAAAAAGAGGGGACAAGACCGGTCTTGAAAGGAAAAGAGACTGAAGGGAAGGGGAGAGAGGACAGTCCTAAGGAGGAAGACCAAAGAACGCAACTGGTTCTTCAAGCAGAAATTCTGAGTGCACAAGTGGAAAGATTGGGTCACCTCAACGATGAGCACAGGCTAAAAGCAACGACAATGGAAAGCCTAAACGACCAGACACAGTATGCATTCTGGGAAAAGGTGAGGCAAGAGAGCAGAACACTTCTACCTTCAAGGACGGTGCTCCCAATAAAAATGGACTCCGTCACCAATGAGTGGCAGATTGCAACCACTCCCAACTTTTCACTCCTAACTTCCTAAGATTGGAAAGGGTCAAAGCAGAGAAGAGTTGCTGACAAAGGTTGTACCAGAAGCCAAGGCAACCGCAATAGGACTGGTGGGGGAACTCCTAAGAGTACAGGAACTGGGGGAGAAAGGCGAAACCAGGGAAGGAACCTGCTTGGACACTCGTCCAATGGTAGCACTGTACGAACCAGAAACGAACCTGGGAGAGGACCTGCAATGGAGACCCTGGTGGGAGATTGCCCAACTCCCATTCACAGCGCTGGGGTCTGAGACCACATTGATTCAGGCAGCAGCTAGCCTGGCGACAACACTGGCAGCACAAACCTTCAACAAGGAAGGAGAGCTCATGGAGGGGCTAGAGTACACAATGGAAGAGGACACAGGGGAGTCCTCGCTAAGCCAGGACCCCATGCAACTCCCCACCCTCTCATCCTAAATTAATTATTACTCAAAGAACCCTCAAAAACCTGTGCAAATGGCGCAAGCCAGCGCGAGACAAGGCAACAGGGCTTCCAGAACACCCAGGGCCTGCAACAGGGATAAAGGAGAACTTGAAATCAGATCATGGAATGTAAGAGGCCTAGCAACCATCCTGTCAACACCAACACAATGGCACGGTTTCGTAGGCACGACAGGATGGTTGGACAACAGACCGCCAGATATCCTATGCATCCAAGAAACTCATCTGGCCACAACAGAGGAACACCAAAGCACACTCAAAGAGATTCTAAGAAGACTGAAACATACCAAGCATGCGGAATGGGCAGCGAGGCCCATAGCAGCCTCAACAGGGGTATTCACAATAGTACACGAGAAAGCAGATGCCTCCCAACTATTAACAATAGGAAATTCCACGAGAGATACAGAAGAAGGTCGTTGGACAAGAACAAACTTTGCCTACATGGAAGAAGAGTTCTCCCTACTCAATATCTACGCACCAGAAACCAATACACAAAGAAGATCCTTCTTAGAAAGAATGAAGCAAGAATGCCCACGACACAGACACCTAATCCTAGTCAGGGACTGGAACGCCACAATAGAACCAACATTAGATAGAATTTCACACGCTAGGGAAGCAGCGGAGGAGTCAGAAGCTCAAGTATGGTAGAATTCCTCACAGAAATGAACCTAAGAGACCCATATAGAATGCTAAACCCAACAACAACGGATTTTACATGTACAAGAAAAACAACTCAAGGAAGAACCTCATTCTCCTAAATAGACTACTTCCTCATCTCCGAAACTTTAGAAGGCGCAGTTAAACTGACATCAATATCCAAGCTCCCCCACTATGGAGGATTCAACCAGAGTCAAATAGGTCTGCACCTCACTTTCTCCCTGGACAACACACCGGGCAATAGTTTTTTTTAACTGAACAATTCCTTAATCGCCATGGGTCTTTTTAAAGCAGGGATCAAACAGGTTTGGGAATTCTACGAACACGAAAATAACAGCACATACATCCTATATAGCTTCCTGAAAGCAATCCGGGCAGTAAGCAGTTGGGCTAACAAAACATCCCAGATAGAAGCCAAAAAAAGGAAAGCGAGACAAAAAATGCTAGAAGCGGTAGTAGAAACAACAATATTCAACCTCATAAACAACCCAGGAGAACACATGTACGAGCAACTATTAACAGAAGCAAAAGAAGAACTCAGCAGATGGGCAGACTGGAATAGGCAAGGATTAGTTATAAGGGCCAGAGTGAAGGACTGGGAAAGCAATGAATCCATGACCAAGTACTTCTTCCAAAAAATAAAGTCAAACAATAGAAACAGTAGAATCATAGGGCTAAAAAATAACCAAGGCCTTGTGGTTTACAATCAAGACAAAATTCTCAAAATAACGACAAAATTTCATCAAAATTTATACACATCGAGAGCAGCAGATTTCAACCAAACAGAGGTAACTAGAGCAAGAAACAAGTTCCTAAAACGCATAGATACTTGTGTAAAACCAGAAGCTGTTGCATATCTAGACAAAGACATCACTAAGCAAGAGCTCTACGAAGCACAAAGAAGCATGCAACCTAATAAAGTCCCTGGGAAGGACGGACTATCTAAAGAATTCTGGATAGAAAATTGGCAAGTAATGGGTGGGGACCTATTCAACTTTCTCCAAAAAGCCTTTGAAATAGGCACACTAGGAAAAAAAATAAGCACAGGGGTAGTAACTCTACTTTACAAGAAAGGAGAACGAGAAAACATCAAGAACTACAGACCCATCACCCTACGACCAGTAGCATACAAAATACTAGCAAAGACCCTAGCCAACCTCATAAGGAACGCCATTGACAAATGTTTTCACATACATCAAACAGGTTTCATCCCTGACAGATACATTCTAGGCAATGTAGTATGTTTAAACGAGGCCACTAAACTGATTAGAGCTAGGCTACCAGCCGAGCGGCCCAGGTCCCGGGTGGCCAGCCCGTGCAAGGACCAGGGAAGGCCCTAGCAAAAAAAAAAAAAAAAAAAAAAAAACCGAAAAAAAACTATGTTATGCAGAAAAATAAACTGAACAACTTTTGCCTCAGGGTCACATCGAAATTCTTCATCAAATTTAGAATAAAAAATAAAATAAAAAAATCATTTTATTTTATTAATTTTTTTGGCTCGGTCGGGCAAGTGACCCCGGGCCACTCTGGTAGCCTAGGATTAGAGATAAAAGACTGCAAGCGACCATTCTCTTTTCCGATTTTGAAAAAGCCTATGACCAAGTAAACTGGGATTTTCTACAACTCAGCATGGAAAAAATGGGTATTGGCCCAAATTTCTGGAAGTGGGTAAAAGTGTTGTATGAAGATGCATATGGTTTAGTACAAGTAAATGGACACTTATCAGACACGTATAGAATGACGAGATCAGTGCGCCAGGGGGACCCACTGGCAGCACCAATTTTTCTTTTTGTAATGGAAGCAGTAGCAGCCTTTCTGCGCAAAGATCCTTCGATAGATAGACTTACCATAGAGAATTCAGACATGTTCATCTCTTTCCCCACCGTTTTGCTGTTCGCAGACGACCTCACAGTCATAATCCAAGCCACAGATACCTCATTTTAAGCCTTAACAAGAGCAATGCAAGCATTCCAACTAGCCTCAGAAATGAAGATCAACTGGTCAAAGACAGTCGGGTGGTGGTTAACCCCGCATCCAACACCCCAACCCACCGCAGAAACGCAGGGTCTGAATGGATAAGCACTCAGGAACCCATGAGATTCCTGGGAATCACAGGAATCACAATATCAGCGGAAGGTATCAACGAAAGCACATGCCCAAACATTCTAGCAAGAATGATAAATAGAATGACAGAATGGCAGAAAGTGAATACCTCTCCCCCACGGCAAAGCCTTAGCCTTAAACACTTCGATTTTCTCCATGGGTTGGTACTCAGCCTCCTTATGGGACCCGCCTTCCCAATTCATATCAACACTAAAGAAAAAGGCAAGTGCATTTCTATGGACAGGAGAAGCATCCAAGGACAAGTACATATCGAAAGTAGCATGGAAATATATAAATAGACCGGTGAAAAAAGGAGGATTATGATTGCTAAACCCGGTGTGAATACAAAGCCCTACAATCAACATGGATCATTAGAATACTCCTGCACGAAGAACTACCCTCGCACGACATGGCTCTTTACCAAATTCGCAACCTAGTACCCTTCCAAACAGACCCCCAAATAGAGGGATACCACTGGCTCATGAACGAATCATGGACCCCAAGAAAAGAACAGGGCAGGACAAGCATCAACCTTTCGTTCAATAGGGACCCCCCGAGCAGCCACTGGAGAACACTAATCAAGCACTGGCGCGAAGCACTCCCGAAAAACGTAAGCAAGCCGAAGAAAAAGGAAGAAGTGCTGAGACAACCCATCTCGGTAACTCCCTTATTACAGACGGTACAGGCAAACCATGGTCCTTAGCAGCCAGGGGCAGGAGATGGAGAAAATGGGTGGAGAAGGGAATTTGGAAAATAGGCCACTTATGGCTGGATGAAGAGCAAAGATGTAAGACAACAACAAAATTGAGGCCTCATCTCAAGGGAGTCCACAACCTGGAAAAGAACCTAGAGGAAATATTAGACAGCATACCTTTAGAATGGAGAGCCCTACTAAAGAAGGACATCAAATGGGAAGTCGGAGACTGGGCAACAGACAAACAACAATCAACGCCATCAGTAGCTCTCAAATTCCTTAAGAAAGTTGACACCCTCAACAACACTGCAGAGTTCGAAGTACACGAGCTAATAAACAATCACAAGACAATAGCAGAAATCAAAGAGGAGAGCATAATAACGTTAGAGTTTAACTTTAAAAAATATGAGGAAAGTCAGAACATGGAACCAAAAAAAAAACAAACGAGCACAAAGTAGCGGACACAAACCGGACAAACTACTAATATTCAGACCAAACAAGGATATCAGTGAGTTGGAAGTAGACCCATGGGAGTGGGGATGGTTCATTAAACTTGGCAGAGGCAGAGCAAGGAAACTAATCAATCTACAAGACTATGAAGTGAAGTTAGGCTACACAATAAGGAACAAGACAGAGGACCCATGCCCAGCCATATCAAGAAGATGGACCAAACATCTAGGAGAAGAACGTGGATGGCCTTCCGAAATTCCATGGGATTATTACAGCAGCCTAAAGCCCACTAGATTCAGAAGCCTACAATGGCTGATTCTCTATTGGGCAGTCCCAGTCAATGAATGGTTGGACTCATGTAGAAGAGAAGATCAGAGAACAGAACATTCCTCTCACTTCAAAATGTGCAGGGACAACAAAGTATAGTCGCTCATACATTGCTTAGTAGAGTGTGCGCACGCAACTACTCTATCGAGATCAGTCAAAGAGACCTGGTCCAACATTTCCTTAAATACGTACCCAGAACAAACCAACTACCTACTATCAGCAAGAGACACGGAAGGAAACCTGTTACAAGAGGATAAATTTATAGCTGACCTATTGAGAAGAGCGACACTATGGGTCATATGGAAAACCAGATGCAAGGGAACTCTAGGGGACCAAAGAATAACAAGAGAGAGCAGAGTCTGAAAGCGTTTGAACAAAAATGGTTATTAAGTAAGAAAATAACAGAAATAGAGGACACGCACCTGAAGTTTCGTAAGTGGGACACAGAGCAGCAGGACACGGAGGAACGACATGAAGAAACCTCACACGAAACCGAAGAACACTAATGACCCAAGAAGGTCACTCGAATAATTTAAGAAATGCTTCCTAAAAACCAACAGTCCGAGCCAGGAAAAGAAACCAACCTTCGAAAACAGAAAACGCAAAAAAAAAAAAAGGTAATACGAGAAAACAGACCTCTTAATTAAGTGCTAACAAAAATTAGAGTTTAACCTATGCTAAAACCAGACCCATAGTGGTAGATCCCATTCTCTCGCACAAGGTTTCAAGCCGAACAGACACCAAGTCAGACCCCAGAAGATAATAATAGATTCTAATAATAATAAGAATAAAAGGGGACAGGGACAGCTTGGCCCAATAAAAAAAGGACAGACCCACCCCAAAAGTTAGAGATACACAACAATAATACCAATACACCCATCATCTACTCTATCTCAACCATCACCGTTATCAAACCAACCTCATAACACGAGAGAAGGTTAACAACAGTCGTATTTTTCATCACCATTTCAAGACACCCTTCACCACTTCAGGATGCAGCCTGCCTAAACAGGTGGTTTTCAGGGTCTTTTTTCACCACTTCAGGACACCCTTCACCACTTCAGGATGCTACCTGGCTAAACAGGTGGTTTTCAGGGTCTTCAGACCTTTCACCACTTCAGGACCATTCAGGATTTTCAGACTGCCACTTCAGGATGCAGCCTGCCTAAACATGTGGTTTTCAGGGTCTTTGGACGTTTCACCACTTCAGGACCATTCAGGATTTTCAGACTGCCCAAAACTCTCACTTCATAATTTTCATTCCTAAATTTTCAGCTACCCGTTAACCGCTTGTGCATAACACCAAACCACCTCCACGACAGCAACTTCACCGCCACCTCCTCCTCTACACATTTCCTTCCACTCCCCCCCCCCCCC